CTGGCAGCGGGATGGAAGAAGAGCCAAAGAAGAAAGGAGGTCATTGACCTATCCCTGTGTCTTTTAAGGGGAGGTTAATGGTGGGTGTTACGTGACGTGTCTGCTATGGCCGTACTAACAGTGAAGGAGGCTAGAGAAATATCGATAGTCTTTAGATTTGCCCAGTTAAACATAATTCTATCAGTGTAGAATGGGATAAGACATACTGAAAAGCATCCAGCTACTTTTGCCATGGCTGCCTCCTTCACCCGCCTCCCATTTCTCTTGCTTTCCAAATAGTGACTTCTTAGGGTCATATTTTTAAAAGACAAATACCTATGTGTTATAAAATTTACAAAATGTAAATATCAACATTTAAATCACCCATGATTCCACATCCTAAAGGTAACATGCAAGAAAGGTCCTTACCCCTGGCCAGTTTGGCTCAGTGGATAGAGTGTCAGTCTGTGGACTGAAGGGTCCCAGGTTTGATTCCGGTCAAGGGCATATACCTTGGTTGTGGGCACATCCCCAGTAGGGGGTGTTCAGGAGGCAGCTGATCGATGCTTCTCTCTCATCGATGTTTCTAACTATCCCTCTCCCTTACTCTCTGTAAAAAAATCAATAAAATATATTTTTTTTTAAAGAAAAGAAAAAGAAAAGTCCTTAACACTAATACAGGGCAAGCAAATCTGTCGACAGAGCATTAAGGTTTTTTTTTTTTTTTAAGCACAATATGTTATACTGTATATTCAATTATTCCTTCAGGAAACATTTTTAAACATCTTTTTTGTTCCCAGTATCTTGTTAATTGATGTGTATGGGAATATACTTTATTTTATTTTTTAAAATATATTTTTATTTATTTCAGAGAGGAAAGGAGAGGGGGAGAGAGAGAGAAATATCAATGATGAAAGAGAATGATTGATTGGCTGCCTCCTGCACACTCACTACTGGGGATCAAACCCAAACCAAAGCCCGTGACCGGAATTGAACCCAGGACCCTTCAATCTTTAGGCTGACATCTATCCAAGCATGTCAAACTCATGGCTGGTGGGCCGCCCACAGGCTGTGAGTTCCTGCTTGCTCTATCCACTGAGCCAAACCAGCTAGGGTGGGGGAATATATATTATAGTGTTGTTCTGAAGATAATTATAATCTAGCATAGGGAGATAAGTTGGGAAATCAGTCAGGGCCCTATAAGTGTGTCATATTTGTGTTAATGTTTGTAAAGGTACACTAGAAAGCAAGAGATAAAAAGTAATGACACTTCCAAAACCGGTTTGGCTCATTGGTAGAGCTTCGGTCTGCGGACTGAAAGGTCCCAGGTTCAATTTCGGTCAAGAGCATGTACCTTGGTTTCGGGCACATCCCCAGTAGGGGGTGTGCAGGAGGCAGCTGGTCCATGTTTCTCTCTCATCGATGTTTCCAACTCTCTCCTCTCTTCCTCTCTGTAAAAAATCAATAAAATATATTTGAAAAAAAAGTAATGACACTGGATATCTCTAATTGTAGAACAATTCATACTGTGGACATCATTTGTAAGAATGACACATTGAGAACACAGCTTATAGTTTTTAGTTGCCTGAGCATGAAATTTGAAATTACAAAGCTTTAGGATAGTGTGATTCAAGCAGTATTAGCAAATCATCCTAACCTAGTAAAATTCTAACCTCTCCTGATTTCCAGATTTAGGAGTCTAGAGTCCATTTGAACATAATTCATCTTGACCAGGCCTTTTGTAAACTTCAAGTATAATTATGTGACAGTTAAAGTTCACTGAAAACATGTGAAATGTTTTGTTGCGTTTTAAATCCTGATGTTAAATGAGTGCATTTAAAAAATATATTTTTGGAGGAAAACAAAAAAAAAATTTAACCTTTCCTGTTGAAAACGCTTAAGTGGGAAAAGTAAATATGTTAAGACATAGAAAGCCGAAACTGGTTTGGCTCAGTGGATAGAGCGTTGGTCTGAGGAATGAAAGGTCCCGGGTTCGATTCCAGTCAAGGCATGTACCTTGGTTGCAGGCCCCGGTGGGGGGTGTGCAGGAGGCAGCTGATCGATGTTTCTCTCTCATTGATGTTTCTAGCTCTCTATCCCTCTCCCTTCCTCTCTGAAAAAATCAATTATATATATATATATATATATATATATATATATATATATATATATATATATATAAAATTTATTTATTTATTTATTTATTTATTTATTTATTTATTTTAAAGACATAGAAAAATCTAGGAGTAACAACGAAATATCAGCAGTTGCCACTAGATGGCCAGATGAGTGACTTCCTGACTTAGTTTCTGTCTTTTTTTTTTTTTTTTACAAACATGTACTACTTTTGTAAATGAAAAGGGTGTTTAAATTATTATTATTATTATCAGCAGTTGCCACTAGATGGCCAGATGAGTGACTTTCTGACTTAGTTTCTGTCTTTTTTTTTTTTTTTACAAACATGTACTACTTTTGTAAATGGAAAAGGGTGTTTAAATTATTATTATTATTTTTTTTTTTAAAGAAACGTTCATCCATGGCACAGGCTGAGTGGAGAATCCCGTTCAAGGATAACTTCTTGTCCCAGGCTGAGCGCCCAGTGCCGGTGCGAGTCCCGCAGGCGCTGCACCCACAGGAGCTGCTGGGCTCAGCCTGCAGGGAACAGTGGGGCCGATTGTGCCTCCCTCTCTCAGGTGCCCGGGGCCCAGGCGGCCGGGCCTCCGCGCAAGAACACACGCTCTTTCATGCAGAAGGGACTGGCTGGCGTTATTTTTATTTTTTTATTTTTTTATTTTTTTTACTTCTGGCAGCCCTGGATTGAAGCACACACATGCATTTTCAAAAGCTCCCGGTTTCCTGTTTTCATTAAGAAAGCAGGGCATGCCGAACCCCTGAGTGTGCTGGGGGTGGCGCCGCCGGAGGCGGAGGGAGCCTCCATTGGTGCACGCTCGGCCTATGGTGTCTGCGCGTGGCCCCGGCTAAGTTTACGCCGCCGATTCTTTCCTTATGGGGTGAAGAACCGGGGCCTGGGAGCCGCAGAGCGAGCGGGGTGAGCGGGGTGTGCGGCACGGAGCGCAGGGTGCCCGGTAGGTGTGCAGGGAGCTGGCTGGCCAGGGGGCGGGCGGGTCAGCAAATCCGCCGCTTGGGAGGGGGTGAGGGGAGGGGTGGGGCTGGATTCCCTGGATTCCCCAGGAGCCAGGACCCTGCAGGGGGTGGGTAAGAGAGCCCCGGGCTGGCTGGTGGTGTCTGGGAGATCTGTCTGCCTCAGTCTGACACCGGAGCCTGCAGTTTCTCTTATTCGCTTGTGGAATTCCAGGCAGCGCTGGAAAACAGGTCCGGCTGCATATTTTGCGTGACGTGTTGTCCATGTGGAGTTGAAAGGGAAGGGGAGATGGCAAGCCGCGGTCTTGTGAGCTGAGCACAGGTTTCCAGGCGCCGGCGCTCTCTGCATCCACGCACTCTTCTTTGGTTAGAAAATTGCTGGGTGCTGGGCACCCCCTGGAAGTGGGTCAGAGAATTGGAAGCGAATGCCTGAGTTCCAACAGCTGGAGCAGTCTGGTACTGTTTTTAAATCGGGGCACCAAAAGCACACAGCTTCTTACTCTGCTCTGCTCTGCTTGGCAACCTTGTTGGTTGTGCTTTTCTTTCCAGTGTTTCAGAGGAAAGAGGGCGAACTGGGGATTGCTCAGAGCATTCCCTTATCCGGTAGAAACGTTGAGCCAGTGGTGGGGTGGGGAAGGGCAGCCCAAACTACTGGACGTTCTCGGCCCTCCTGTACAGCAGCCTGGCGGGGTTTGTGTTCCCGTGGCTTGTGTTTTCACTCGGTGCTTTTTGAGTCCTTTCCACAAGCTCCGAAAAGGCAGCAGCGCTTCTCATGACGGCTCTAGGCGAATCCAGCGACTTAAACAAACAAAAATCGCCTTGCTTTTCAGCTTGAAAAAGCAAGCTCAGGTCCAGCCGCAAAGCTCTGTGTGCCTTGAAAAGGACTTGTGTTCCCTCTGCTAAGTGTCTGGTTTAGGCAGAAGTAGCATTTACCAGATGCCACATGATCCAGGGTTTGGACGGAGGCTTGCCCTTGTTTCCATCCTCCTTTGCATCTGTTTGCCTACACCACAGCTACAAAAACAAGGTATTCTTGGGACAGTGGCTGTTTTGTCCAAGAGAAGTAAGTCAAAGTTGGAAGAAACTGTTTTCCTCTGGCTGGCACAGGGTTTGCCTTTGTTTTTAAAACGGGGAAAAACACAAGGCAGAGTTGAAGTGTGTGCTCTGCGTTCTTGCACCCCTGCTGCTGGCGCTCCTCCCTCAACCCTCTCAGTGAGGAAGGAGTCCAGGCCCGCTGTGATCCTGTGCAGGTGATCAGGCACTGGGACCCCTGGGCCACCGTTCAGTAAGGTGGCATAATCTGCACTAGGTCAGTTATGCTAGGGGTTTTGTGTGTTGTGTTTTATTTTATTTTTTGCCTTTTGTTCTTCAGAGTATACTTTATGAAATAGGAGTGTTAGTGACTGCCATCACACTTCAAGGGACTGTATACAACAACAAAAAAATTATCTACTTGGAAATGCTTTTAAGTCTTTTAATGATTCTTTTAAAAAATAAAATTACTTAGTAAGGAATGGCTATGTTCTTGGCTCTTTAAAATCATTATCTCATAATATTCTTTTAACAGCTTTATGAGTTAAATGCTAGCATTTCCATTTTTTTCTTTGGGGGGGAGGGTGGTGGTACAGGGGAGGAGTAACTGAGGTTCCCAAAGGTTTATTAGCTCACTCAGCTGTAAAGTTATAGATCCAGGATTCGAACATAGGTCTCTCAACGCTTAACCATTTGTACGCCATAAGCGTCTATAAATGCAAGCGGCGGACCTTTTTAACTTACATTCAAAATATGGTGGCAGTTACCTGGTTAAATTATACCAGCTTAAAACACACACACACACACACACACACACACACACATTAGCTTTTGCCGTTTTTGTGTATTACATAGCATTAAAAAAGTGTCTTCTCTTTCTCCCTCAGGAAAAGCAGACGATGTTCTAAACGGGGACCATGACAAGGAACAGAAAGACCCTTATTTCGTGGAGACTCCCTACGGTTATCAACTAGACTTGGATTTCCTCAAGTACGTGGACGACATACAGAAAGGAAACACCATCAAGAAACTGAACATCCAGAAGAGGCGGAAGCCCTCGGTGCCATGTGCAGAGAGCAGGGCCCCGCCCGGCCAGCAGGGCGTGTGGACTTCCACTGAGTCCCTGTCCTCTTCCAACAGCAATGACAACAAGCAGTGCCCCAGCTTCCTCCTAGCCAGGGGCCAGGCGACATCCACTCCCGTCGCAAGGCTGCCCGCCCCGCTGGACATCTCGCCCACTTTCCTCTCCATCCCAGAGAGTCGCCAGCTGCCACCGCCCTCCCCGCAGCTCCCGAAGCACAACCTCCATGTCACCAAGACGCTGATGGAGACCCGGAGAAGGCTGGAGCAGGAGAGGGCCACCATGCAGGCGACCCCGGCTGACTTCCGGAGGCCCAGGCTGGCCAGCTTCGGAGGCATGGGCTCCACGGGCTCGCTCTCCTCCTTCATGGGTTCCGGGAACCACAATCCGGTCATGCACCAGCTTCAGAATGGCTGCTACCAAGGCAACGGGGACTACAGTGGCTATGCCCCAGCCGCAGCCACCACCTCTTCCATGGGGAGCTCCATCCGCCACAGCCCCCTGAGCTCGGGGATCTCCACGCCCGTGACCAACGTGAGCCCCGTGCACCTGCAGCACATCCGGGAGCAGATGGCCATCGCCCTGAAGCGCCTGAAGGAGCTTGAGGAGCAGGTACGGACAATCCCCGTGCTCCAGGTGAAGATCTCGGTGTTGCAAGAGGAGAAGAGGCAGTTGGCCTCGCAGCTGAAAAGCCAGAACCAGAGGGCCGCGTCCCAGAGCGACCTCAGCGGGATGAGGAAGCGGTCCTACAGCGCCGGGAACGCGTCCCAGCTGGACCGGCTCTCCAGGGGCCCGAGGAGCGGCGGGGAGCTGCACATCGACGACGAGGAGGAGGAGGAGATAGAGAGCGTGGAGCAGAGCACCCAGCGGGTGAGGGAGTTCCGGCAGCTCACGGCCGACATGCAGGCCCTGGAGCGGAAGATCCAGAGCAGCAGCTACGAGGCCCCCTCGGACCACCTCCTCCGGGAGAACGGGGAGGGTCCGCCTCCAGAGCGCCGGTCCGTGGCCGCGGGCGCCGACGAGAACATGCACGACGTCGTCCTGTACCACAGGGGCTCCGGGTCCCGGAGAGACGCCGCCGTGGGGACCGTCACGGAGACGAGGGATTCCGGGGTCGGCGTGACGGAGGCCATGCTCGGGGCGACCACCGAAGCCGACAGGGAGATTGAGCTGCAGCAGCAGACCATAGAGGCCCTGAAGGAGAAGATCTACCGCCTGGAAGTGCAGCTCAAGGAAACCACCCACGACCGGGAGATGACCAAGCTCAAGCAAGAGCTGCAGGCCGCCGGGCTGAGGAAAAAAACCGACAAAGCCACCATGGCCCAGCCGCTGGTCTTCAGCAAGATGGTGGAGGCCGTGGTGCAGACGAGGGACCAGATGGTGGGCCGTCACGTGGACGTGGTGGACTCGTGCGTGGGGACCTCCGTGCAGACGAGCAGCGTCGGCACCTCCTGCCGGCCCCTCTGCGAGAGCAAAGTCACGGGGCCGGAGCTGCCCATGCATTGGTGGGTTGTGAAGGAGAGGGTGGAAACGCGGGACCAGGGCACGGGGAGGGCGGTGGAGACGTGCGACAAGGGCGTGGGGGTGGAGATCAGCGTCTGCGAGACGGGCAGCAACACGGAGGAATCGGTGCACGACCTGTCGCTGCTCAAGACCCACCTGAACCTCAAGGACGTGCGGTCGATCGGCTGCGGGGACTGTTCGGTCGACGTGGTCGTCTGCCCGCCGAAGGAGCGCACCTCCCGGGGCGTGAGCACGGAGCCCGCGGGCCGGGCGGAAGCTGCCGTCATGGCCGCGCCCCGCACCGCCAGCCGGCACACCAGCACGGCCGTGGAGCAGGCGAGCCGGTCCACCAACACCGAGGCGGCCGCCCTCGTCGAGTCCTGCACCAACACCACCTCCCTCGGCACGTCGGACAAGCAGACCAGCACCGGGACGGTGGAGACGCGGACCGTGGCGGTCGGAGAAGGCCGCGTCAAGGACGTGAACCCCTCCACCAAGACCCGGTCCGTTGGAGTGGGCACGGTGCTCTCGGGCGGCTCCGGGCTGGACAGGCCATCGGCCGTGAAGACCAAAGAGTCGGGCGTGGGCCAGATAAGCATCCACGACAACTACCTGGTGGGTCTCAAGATGAGGACCATCGCCTGCGGGCCGCCCCAGTTGACCTCGGGGCTGACGGCCAGCAGGAGGAGCGTAGGTGTCGGGGATGAGCCCGTAGGGGCGTTCTCGGAGGGCCCCCAGCCTCAGGCTCCTTCCGGGATGGTGACTGGCCTGGATCACTACATTGAGCGCGTCCAGAAGCTGCTGGTGGAGCAGCAGACGCTGCTGGCCGAGAACTACAGCGAGCTGGCGGAAGCGTTTGGGGAGCCCCACTCGCAGATTGGCTCTCTCAACTCACAGCTCATCAGCACCCTGTCGTCCATCAATTCCGTCATGAAGTCTGCGAGCACCGAGGAGCTGAGGAACCCCGGCTTCCCCAAGACGAGTCTGGGTAAGGCCGCCGGTAGGTAGCGCTCTGCGGGACCTGGGGGGTGAGGAAGGGTGGGGACTGTGTTTCTAGAACCATTTCAAAACGTGAGAACCCTTGGAGTGGTGATTTGGTAGAATGATTGCGACCGGTAGCTTCTTTTGCCTCTCTGCCCTGAGGACTGAGGCTAGAAGAAGAAAAGCCAACGAATGCTGGCTGGCCTAGGGGCTCTCTCCTGGGACTGCTAGTTTGATAGGATGTCTCCCAGTTATTTATTTACTCATTTAATTTAGGCCAGGCTTACCAAAAGGTCCTTTCATGTTTGTAACCCAAATTACCAGTGTATTATTATTATTATTATTAACCAGTATATTATTGATTTTAAAAAAAAAATACTGGTAGAAAATGTTGTCAATGAAAACTTCCTATGAGGGGAAGGAGACTCCATTAATTCATATTAATCCAGCAAATAATGATTGAATTCCAGCTCTGTTTCAGGCGTAGTGACATTCCCGTCGGGGGGGGCACATAAACAGTAGGCCTAACCTGTATCAGGTGGCGGTACGTGCTATGGAGAAAAGAACTGCAGGTGTAGCAATAGCGAGGGGCGATGGTCTGAGTGGGGGCTGTGTGAGATGGGGTGGCCCAGGAAGGCCTCTCTGAGGAGCCGGAACTCGGAGAGAAGGGAGCCCTAGCCCACTGTGTCGTTTTGATCGGTGCTTACATTTTTGTCTTCCTCATCCTCATCCTTATTCATAGGGATTCCTGCTCACCCCCTGATTTTTTTTAAATTAAAGTTAATAATTGAGAAATTAACCTGGAAGGTTTCATGGCCTACAATATTTCCCTGGAAGCCTCACTAAAATGACTTCCCTTGTTATTAGTGTGGTGTGTCTCGAAGAGTGCTAATATCCGCCCAGGATGGGCCTTCATTCAGGCTGTCCTGGTCTCACGAGCCAGCGTGACCTGGGGATGCAAAGTCCGCCTTCTGTCCAGGGCATTGTAAAGGGGGACGTGAAGGGCTCCCATCCTAGAAGGTTGCCAGCGTGTTGATCCCTGGCGTGCGGTGAGCCCAGGGCCACTGCTGTTGTCCGGGTGGTTGTGCTAGTAGCATGCCGAATGTGGTTTCCTTTGTTGTCGTGCTAACCTGCAGTGTGAGGTTCGGGAGGCCACTGCAAGCATATTCTCAACTCTGGCCAAAGGGGACATGCAGAACGAATGTAAATGCTTCGTGTGATTTGTGTGATGTAGATGAAATTTAAACTTATTTTCATTGATGGATTTTAAAGAGAGAGGAAAGTGGAGAAAGAGAAACATTGATGTGTTGTTCCACTTATTTATTCATTCATTGACTCTTGTATGTGCCCTGACCGGGGATCGAACCTGCAACCTTGATGTATCGGGATGACACTCTAACCAACTGAGCTACCCGGTCAGGGCCCTAATATGCATTAAATCTAATTGTAATGTGAAAATGTCCAGTATTTTAGACTTACCTGTAAGTAAACCATTAACAAGAATTTCAAAGTCTTTCTGTTTCTCTCTATAGCCTAAAGCAGTGGTCGGCAAACACATTAGTCAACAGAGCAGCAAACCGCGGCTCTCGAGCTGCATATGGCTCACGAGCCGCAGTTTGCCGACCACTGGCATAAAGAGTAGTAGTAGCTGAAATGGACTGAAATATCTTTTATATCTCCCTAGGTTTCCACTTTCAATGCTGAATCAATATTAGCTTTTCGTAACTGTGCTGGGGAACAGACAGTTTATTGTAGGAGAAAAAAACGGACAAGACCATGACAGCTGATGTGTGCGTTTTTGCCTTTTAGAATCCAAGGAGTCTCATAAATGTTCAGGGGAGTCATTTTAGAGTAAACAGGATTAAAATGATATGTGGACTGAAGCAAGAGTCTTAAGTAGCTAATAATATGTCTGTTTCCACTTCTTTTTTAAAAATCATGATGTCAGATGTTGAAGTCAAAATAAAACCCTTAAATACACTCCAGACACAGATGGCACAGTAGATCATCCATTATAAAGGCGTTTTCCTGCCAGCCTTCCTCCCTCCTCCCCAAACGGGGGCTTCCATTTCACATTCTTGCCAAAAATATTCAGCTGAACCATTGGAGTAATCTTTGTCTGACACCCTGAGCAGCAAGAGGGGGAAAAGAGTTGTGTCTGGCTGTGTGACAGTGTGTTTTGGTCTATTTCCAGTCACAGCAATGTTCCACACGTCTCTGTTTAGATGTGACCCTGCACAGGAACACCTAATTCATCGGCTAAGATGCACAAGCGCCACAGCATTGGCGAACAGAGTATAAATATATTCAATAACACTTGTTGGGTCATAGTGGCGGCTCTCTCTCAGAACGCACAGGAACAACTTCAAAGTATTTCTGTAATCCCCACATCACATTTGTGTTTTAAGCGTCTTGCTTTTAAAGTTCCAATGAAGAAGGAATTTGGTTAGGAACTCAACCCAGAATGTGAAATGTTTGTTACATGAACTGAAAAATGAAAGCAGCTTGATCCATGGTCTAGGGAGACCGTTGGTACCTGCCAGCTGTGAAGATTAAAGATGTGTCAGAATGCCCTGTGGTTTACTGTGCACACCATGTAATAGACAGCACTGCTCACACACAGTGTTTCATGCATTGCTGGACCAAAAGGCATACTGGAGTTATAGGAAGGTATTCATTTCAGACTTTCTCTCCCAAATAAAATGATAGGGAATTTGGGTTTGACATCTACCAAAAAGATCATGTAAGTGATTATGTATGTTATGTCAGCCTAATACTTCAGTGCGAAGGAGCTGTTAAGTTTGGGCTCCAAAGCCAGACATTCATTGGGTTCAAATTCTTTCTCTGCCATTAGGACAACTTGTCTTTGTGCCCTCACAGGGTTGAAATGAAGATTTAATGAGTTAGTAAGAGGAAAGCATGTAGAACAGCCTGCAGCACGGAGTATATAAATGCCCAATAAGTGCTGGCCGTCATTGTTGTTACTGCTTTTAGTACTTCCAGAAGTGGAAATGTGGATGTAGAACAAATTGCCAAACAGAAATTGTACAAGTGATGTTCTGTTTTTAAATCCAAATTTTCATCTTCATTATTCTGGCTAGCCATTGCCTTCTTCCCCCAATTATATTATGCCTCCCCAACTAACAGTTTTATCAAAATTAAAAAAATATATATATATATATAGAGAGAGAGAGATAAAAATGGGAAAATACAAAGTGGGAAGAATAAATTTTCAGTTCAGGCTCATTCAGAGTCTGTGTGAAAGCCCAAAACAAAGCCAAAATTAAATTAAGTATATTAGTGTCCAGTCTAGAAAATTCTCTTAAACTTGCCTATGGTTGTAGAGTTGAGGGTATAACTTGTTGGTATGCAAAAGAGCATTATTTTTTAGCAGCATTATTATGCCTAAACGCCTACCATTTTCTTAAAATTATAACGAGTACATGCTCATAACAAATAGCAGTTCAGAACACCATAAATAAAGAATGACAGCCTCTCCCTCACACCCCCAGGGAGTAACCTCCTGTGTGTGCTTGGTGTATATAAGTGTGTATGTGAGTGGGGCTGTATTTTAGAGGCATATTTTTTTAAACAAAAGTTGGATCGTGCACATTCTATGCATTTGTCACGTAACAGATCACAGACATTTTTTCCTGAATTTGGTGCTGACCAAAGATGTTCTATAAAATACTTCTTAATTCCTAGTAATTGAACTTGCATGTATTCTTTAAATAGGTAATAAGGAAATTGTAATTAAGATTTTAAGAAGAAAATAAGTTTCTGTTATCAAAGAAACCTTAGGAAAAGAATGTTTATGCTTCCTATAAATCAATTGGATTGTTTTGAGGAGTGGGTTAATGTTTCTTTTCTTTTTTTTTTTTTCTTCTTCTTTCTCTCTGGAACAGGAGAGAAAATTCTAGACAAATGACATGCAGTTACAAATACTCTAAATATATTATAACTGTCTCTGAGGAAATATGAGCAAAGCTATCTATAATGGCGGAATTGAACTGCCTGCCACATGAGCTATAGAAAATTTCTCAAACTCACACACAAGAACTGCGTTTTCAATCAGCTTCCACATTTGCACTCTTCATTATCTGGGGTTTGTTAAAAAGTTTGTGAACTTGAAGTCATTCCCATAATTGTAAAAGCAGTTTTGTAGACAGAGATGTGAGCCAAAGCAAAAGCAGGGAAATAAATAGTTACAAAAATACCATTTCTAGTTAGTTTTCTTCTCGTTCAAATAATCACCAGTTACTTGTCCTGGTACCTATTTTTTTTTAATAATAATAATAATAATAATAATAATAATTGTCTTTTAATCAATGCTATAAGAGCATCAGAGTGTTTCTGGCACCCTGCAGTGTGTACTGTCATGAGGTAGGCAGCTGGCTCCTGGCACCTCTGTCCAGGAGCTGGGAGAATCCCTGTGGAAAGGGGAAGCCTGGGCTTCCATGTCCTTCTGTGTTGTGAGAAGGATGCGTTAGATTTTTTATGCAGGGGGCTCTTTCAGCAGAATTTTTATATGAAACTAGCTCTTCACCAGACTGCCCATCAGATTCAGCGGGGGAACGTTTCCAAAATCCATGGGTTTCCTGCTGTCATCCACCACCACCATCACCAACCCTACAGGCACACCCCAGGCCCTATTTCAGGGGAAATAGTGTTGGAATAAACAGCCTTGGAGTGAGGCTTCTTAACCTGGGGTCCATAGCTTTGTGAACATTTTTGTGTTTGGAGTTTTTGTGAAGGAAGTGCATAATTTTCATCAGAGTCTCAAAGGGGATAATGACACTGAGAAATATTGAAATTGCAGATCGGTTTCAGGCCTTGGGGAAAAGTACTCCACTCCTGAGAAAAAAAATCTTTTACAGAGTTTAAAATCTGTTCACCCCGTTTGTGAGCCCTTTGACTGACACTCATTTCAAAACCTTCCTCTTAAAAAATATATATATGTGTATATATATATTTTTTTAAATATATATTTTATTGATTTCAGAGAGGGAGAGATAGAAA